CGTTTAATAAAAAAGGAGATACGTTATTATCTCAATCAATACGATCATACATTGTTCCAAGTAAATTATAATTGAAGTGATCATTTTGTATGTCGAATCAGGATAAATATTGTTACACGGAAAAAGCTTTGAGATTGTAGTAAGATGTCGTTGAGTTGAAAGAAGTTTATATTTCTTGACTAAAAAAAATCGCATTAGTTTACAATAACAGAATTACAGATTACGGCAATTCAACACAAACTTGGATATCACAAATTTCGTTCAATGTGATGTACGGAAAGCTCAATTTAAACATCGGCTTCATTCGAGAAAACAACATTCAATTCATTCCTCAATGTAATCATCTCCTAGGTACGAATTTTTGATCAATTCATGAAAGTAGAAAATTTCTCGACTGGAGATTATATTAGGTTAAAAAAAATAGAACTTTTCCATTTTTGTGGTGAATACATGTGACTTGACGCCAAGGACTGTTTTATTTGATTCAAGTAAATGTATCTCAAGAAGAAATAATTGATATTCACCGTAAAATATTATTTATTTGTTCATCTCGACGAGTGATATGACGAGAAAATATCACAGATGTTTCAACACAAATATTTCAATTTCGTGATGATCAACGATCATTGACAACCGTGAAAATCGCCCACCAATCTGGTGATTCCGTTATGATTAAAATCATCGGTGTTCTTTCGGTAATGAGTCGTTTAGAATCCATTCTTATTGTTTTGTTTCTCAGCAGAGACAAAGGAAGTATCGACCGGATGGTCAGCGACCCTCAGCCCATAAAGGACATCGTTCCAGTTGGTAATTACGACGCACAGGACAGGCCTAGCCGAGAGGGACATTTTTGATAAATAGAACAGAATCAGATATCTCGTGTTGATTTAGAGAAAGTTTCCCGGCGAATGGAGCAACTGCTCAGTGAATGACGATTATGATCCTCGGAGATCTATGAGGACTGCTGACCTCGACCGCCAAATGGAATTCATTCGAGAATTCTCGGCCATCAAATAACCGCACAAGAAGAAAAACGAGCAAAGAAATCAAGCAATAAGACGAGATGTCCTCAGTCCGTCTGATTTTTCAATAAAAACATAAATATTCAGTACCAAATTACTGATGAATTTTCGATTAATTAAAAATTCAAGAATATATCGTCGCATTAAAATCAAAGGGGCGTAAGTGCCATTTCTCTGAGATTTTTTTTTCTCTTAATACCAAAGGGGCGTATGTTTTTTTTTTCCTTCGAAATGGAGTTTTCTCAACTTATGAAAGGTTTTTTGTGGACAAATTTCTGAAGTGGCAAATGGACGTAAGTCCGACTAGCAAGTACTGAAGGGGCGTATCTCCAGCACATACGCCTCTTTCTTTTTATACTTTTTGTTTCTTTTCTAGCTCATATTGAGAATGAATAATTCCAAAGGGGCGTAACTCAGGCACATACGTCCCTTTGTTTTTGAAGCAATAATCACAGAGGGGCGTA